TTTCTACTCCCGTAAAGATTTACACCCTCGGAAACCCTGTACAGGGTCGCTATGGGTCGGAACCGACTCGATGGCACTTCACAACAACAACAGAGCACATATGTACTGATTTTTAACCACAGTCAATTTGGTTTTCTGGAATTGTAAAAATTAGCCATGGCTGATCAGGAGGTCCCCAAGCACACAGAGGGACAGCTCAGGACATCCTCAGGACCTGGGGCCCGAAACTCCTGGGTCTGAATTCCTGGAATGCTGAGTGGTCCATGAGTGCAAAAGACCCAGTGCTTGTTCCGAACGTTATCAAGCTCCCTTAAGGCTGAGCACTCTGGGACTGTGGAGGACTCCGTCCTTGTCCTTCAGGAACTCACGATGGCTGGCGAGACCATCATCTGAGAACCACTGACCCTCAAGCCCAGTGTGTTAAACACAGAGAGTTAAGGCTATAGAAAACCCAGAAAAGGGGGCAAGATATGTTTGAGTGGGGGAGTTGGAAAATGCTTTCTACCGCAGATGGGAACTCATGTTAACCTTTGACCTCAGTAATATGGTACCTTACATGATCTTGGAGTCCCTGAGTGGCACACTTGGTTAAGACTGGAAGTTCTAATGTGCTCAGAGGTGCCTTCTAAGAAAGACCTGGTGGTCTGGTTTCAAAAAGTCACATCCTACAGTGCACAGGTCTACGCTGCAACCGTTTTTGTTCTTTATATGACCTTAATGTTGTCTACAAGGAGCTTTGGTAGCGTAGTGGTTACGAATTGGGCTGCGAACTGCAAGGTCAGTAGTTCAAAACTACCAGCTGTTCCATGGGAGAAAGATGAGGCTTTCTGCTCCCGTAAAGATTTACAGCCTCGGAAACCCCGTACAGGGTTGCTATGAGTCAGAACTGACTCCATGGCACATAACAACAACAACAATGTTGTCTACAGAGTCCTGGTGTGGCGCTGTGGGTTAATGTGCCAGACTGCAAAGCCGTTTGAACTGCAAGGTTGGTGGTTCAAGCTCACCAGCTGCTCCTCGGAAACCCTATACAGAGTCACTATGGGTTGGAACCGACTCGATGGCACTTCACAACAACAACAAAAATGTTGTCTGCAAGGAGCTCTGGTAGCGTAGTGGTTACGAGCTGGGCTGCTAATCTCACAGTTAGCAGTTCGAAACTACCAGCTGTTCTGCGAGAGAAACTTAAGACTTTCTGCTCCCGTAAAGATTTATAGCCTTGGAAACTCTATGCAGGGTCGCTATGAGTCGGAACCAACTCCATGGCACATTACAACAACAACAACAATGTTGTCTGCATGATAGCTCTATTAAGTAGACAAGGCACCAACAGGAATTTTAAGTAGACAAAAAGGCCACAAAAACATTTAGTCCGGGTGTGAATACGCACTGGACCACAAGGTTGGTGTGAACTGCAAGTTCAGTAGTTCAGGCTCACCAGTCACTCCTCAGAAACCCTATACAGGGTTGCTATGAGTTGGAATTGACTCAACAGCACTTAACAACAACACATATAGCTGTATGTCCTCCGTCACACACGCACACACACACCCCTTGCTCCATCCCTAGCACAGCTCTTCCCATCAAACCACACTCCTCAGCTAAACTAAACTGGTCAGAATGAACACATTCCAGCCATTCCAGGTGGAGGTTTTCCTACAGCTTGTGTTTGTTTCTGCAGAAAGCAGTGATGACGACCACAAAGTATCCAGAAAACGCCAGTGGAACCCAGGGCCCGGACACCCCCACAGGGACAACTCACCTGGTAGGAGACAGGCCTGGCCATTTACCTCTCCGCTGGGCCTACCACATCTGTGTTAAGATAATTCCTCATGTCGTTGTTTACAGCAGGGCAGAAATAGCAAACAGTCTAACTGTCCAACAACAAGGAATTTGTTCGATAAATGATGCTACATCCTGTCTGGTTACAACTCTGTTCTTCATGGATCTGTAAAGTGAAAAAGAAGGGCATCAAACCATGTAATCAATCTTTGATCTGCTTTGTAAAAATCCACACACATGTACTGTCCACCGTTATAAACAAAACTAGAAGGGAAAACATCAAAAGAATGGTTATCTCCGGATGGCGAGATGATGATAATTTATCTTTTCTTCTTTGAGCTCTGGTAGTGTAGTGGTTATGAATCAGGCTGCTAATCTCATGGTCAGATGTTCGAAATTTCCAGTAGTTCCTTGGGAGAAGGATGAGACTTTCTGCTTCTGTAAAGATTTACAGCCTTGGACATGCTATACAGGGTCGCTGTGAGTCTGAACTGACTCCACAGCACATAGTCACCACCACCACAGACCTTGGAGTCCTGGTTTGGTGCTGTGGGTTAATACGCTGGACTGCAAAGTCGGTTTGAACTGCAAGGTCAGCAGTTCAAGCTCACCAGTCTCTCCTCGGAAACCCTATACAGGGTTGCTATGGGTCAGAACCAATTCAGTGGCACTTAACAACATCAACAACAACAATCTTGGCACACAGAATAAATGCTCCTATGAATCTGGAGTTGAGTGAATGAAGCTTTGGAGCTAGACCTGGGTTTGAATCCTAGAGCTACTACTTACGGGCTGTGTGACCTTGGGGGAATAATTTAACATTTTGAGCTTCAGTTTCCTTATCTGTAAAATGGGTGTGTAGACATAGTAATACCTTCTTCACAGAATTTTCATAAGGATCAGATAATATTAAATATAAATTACTTAGTGCAGTGTTGAAGCATAAATCAAAAACCAAGCCCAGTGCATAGAGTCGATTCTGACCTATAGTGCCTGTATATAGCGTTTCCGAAGCTGTAAATCTTTATGGATGCCGACAGTGTTTCTCCCACTGAGCAGCTGATGGGTTTCAACTGCTCACCTTGAGGTTGGCAGCCCAGTGCTTATCCTACAGTGCCACCAGGGTTCCTTTTCTGTTGGTATATAGTGACTACTCAGTAGATGGAAACTATTAAGGAGCTCTGGTAGTGTAGTTGTTACGAGTCGAGCTGCTAACCTCAGCGGCAGCAGTTCGAAACTATTTAGCCGCTTCACTGGAGAAAAATGAGGCGTTCTGCTCACGTAAAGATTTACAGCCTCAGAAACCCTGTGCAGGGTCACTGTGAGTCAGGGCCGACTCAAAGGCACTTAATATCAATAACATTATGGGATAGGACTCTGGTATGGTGCTGCAGGATAATGCACTGGACCAAAAGGATGGTTTGAACTACAAGGTCGGTGGTTCAAACCCATCAGCTGGTTCTTGGAAACCCTAGACAGGGTCAGTATGAGTGTGAACAGATTTGACGGCACTTAACAGCAATTTTGGAATGGTGTGGCACTGTAGGATACACACTGATTGCTAACTGCAAGGCTGATGGTTCAAAGCCACCAGCCACTCCACCGTAAAACCCTATACAGGATCGCTATGAGTTGGAACTGACTTGACAGCAATTAACAACAACATTATGGAATATGGCTCAGGTCCTCTCAAGCCCCAATTCTAAGTAAACTGAAGATTCTGACCTCTGGGAGCGTTGGAGGCAGTAAATGTAAAATGAAAAGAACCTGTTGGGTGCTTTCTTGCCTCTGAAGATGCCTCATCCCACCCCAGCCCAGGCAGAAGGCCTGAGTTACCTTTTGAGGCTGCCTGGGGTCACAGTGATACCGGGAGTTGCTGACTGCAGGGGTTTGTGTCTCCACCAGGTACCGAGCCTGGGAAATCTGATGTTTCGAAGGATGAGCTTCAACTCTATGGAGGTAATCAGTTGTACAGTGGCTTTAGAGAAAACAGAATTAGACCAAGGGCATGAGGGTTTAGGACTTTCGGGGGGAAACAAGGTCACAAGGATACCCCATAAACTGAAATGTTCCCAGCAAACATAGGAGATATGATAAAATCAGTGCTCTAACACTGGTACAGGGGACACAAGCCTTTTATACCATGGCAATAGCTTGAGAAAATCTTGCATCTTCTTCCAGGCTATAACGTTGACTTGTGGGGTATCCTCGATCAATCACCAAGTCTTTCTGGACCTCAGCTGCCCTGCCAGCGTAAGAGTTCCCGATCAGTGCCCCCTCCCTTGGAACACTCAGCTGTTAAAACATATCAGGGGAACTTCAGATCTGGTCTCTACCAAACTCCATATTCTTACAGTGAAGCAGGATGGATATGGTGATACTTTGCTTGGTAGACCTGTGATGAAAGCGAGCCAGTTTACAAAAGAATCTGTGAAACACACACTGCCAGATGAACTTTGTTTCATCCAGCCTTCCCAAAATCGACTTTCCTCACAGCTCACAGTAACCCAAGAAAAAAAACAAAGACATCCCCATAGAAAAATGACGGATACGTTTTATGCATAAAACTATAACCAGTGGTTGCTTTCTGGGTGTTAGTACTGTGTGTAACATATTTATTGTTTTATTTGCTCACCTGATTTTTTTTGTTTTTGTTTTTTTTTGCTTGTAAAAATATTTTAAATTACTCAGGTAGTTTAGTAAAGGCTGCACTGGGGGTTAAAATGAGAAACTGTAGTGTTGACCCAGGTTTAATGTTTCTTTTTCACAATACAAGTAATTAACATTCACTGCAAAAATAGAAGCACTTTCTTGTGAATTACTTCCCCCAAGCCATTGGAAGCGTGTAGTAAACAGTAGTTAAGTCCCATTTCAGGCCTTCTGGGTACTTCTGGTCATTCTTTTGTAACTTTGCACATGATGTTATGGTTTGCCTTGTGGGGAGTGTTTACAGCCATGTGCTGGGTGTCCCCTTGTGGTGTCTGTGTCCTGGACTGACTCAAAGGACTGAGGTTGGACATCATGAGGGGTCCTCCTCGCCATGGAGAAGGTGGTGGAACTCTGGAGAGGGTCATCAGAGAGCTAGAAGTGGCTGAATAGTTGGTGAATAGAATAGGAAAACCATATCCCGGACCAGACTGATAAGGAAACTGCAGCTCAGAGCAGGTAGAAGGGGCTCAACTCACCCCAGACAGCCCAGACAGAAATCCAACCCTCAGACAAATCCCAGGCTCTACTTAGGTCAGGGATCTTAGTCTACAATCCAGCTTGGCTCCCACTGCTCAGGTCAGGGACTGGGGTTCATGTGGTCAGGTGCCAGCCCTTGCATCTGGAGGGGCTCAGAACAGAAAAGATCACAAACTAAAATAAAGCCCATTGTGTGCACATGTTCTTTATTTGGCTCACAGAGTAAATTTTAAAATTAATGTATTTAATCAATCTCACAACTCAGATTTCCCCACATCTCTGAAATCAAGGAGCATGTTAGAATTGTAAATATCTTAAAATTACTGATGCTGGAAACTTACAATGTTAATTATCTGGGATGTTTCTTACTTATAGAACATAAAATAATATCAGATTTTGTAAATGGTGGTATCTTTGATCTAAGAAAACATCATAGTGGCCAACCTTTATTAAAATCAGGAAGTTTCATGTAAAAACCTGAATTTCTGACCTCTCATAGAAAATTGGAAGATCCTGATACTGGGCAGATAGTTTTCAGTTGGCTGGGAGGTGACTACCCCTTTCAGTGGAGCAGTGGCTCTGCAGCTTGCTCTGTTCTCCACTCAACATACTCCAGGCCAACCTGTGAGAGAGGTACCCCTCAGACTCACTTCTCCCCACTCAGATGATGACAGTTATGTGAACTCTGCTTTTCCTTCCGTGCAGGTGCCCCTGGAGAGCTGGTGCCCTCTGGGGAGACAGGTGAGTGTCGGGATGGGGAGAGGGGCCGTGGATGTTGGTGGTGAGGAGGCTGGTCTCCCCTGCAAGGGCCACAGACTGTGAGAGATGGGAGGGGTCTGGGGCTCTGGCCCTGGAGTCCCTGACTGGCACAAAATAGTTAAGTACTCAGTTACTAACCAGATGGTTGGTGGTTCAAACCTACCCAGAGGCACCTCGTCAGAGAGATGTGTTAAGGACCTTAGCTATCCTATGTTAGTGGTTATGTGCTGTGGAGTTGGTTCCAACTCGTAGTATAGGGTTTCCGAGGTTGTACATCTTTATGGTAGCAGAAAGCCTCATCTTTCTCCTGTGGAACAGCTGGTAGTTTCGAACTGCTGACCATGAGGTTAGCAGCCTGATTTGAAACCACTACACTACCAGAGCTCCTTATTCAGGAAGCTAGAAGTCCAAATTCCCAGCGCTGGTTCTGAAGGAAGGCCCTTGGATTTTCAGGTTCTACTTTTAGTCCTCTGGAGGTCTTCTGGTGGTTTGGCATCAATCTCACCCCGTCTCAGTTTTCTTAATCTGTTCATTTTATATTTTGTAAGAGATTGACTCAAAACACGCCTGACACCAATCCTCCCTCATTAATACAACAAAGACAACTCTTTTCCTTGATGGGACTGGAGCACATAGAGGTTAGGATTTACATGTCTTCTGGGGATACAATTCAATCCATAACAGGCTCTCAAACTGGCCTGGGCTCTAATGCTCTGCTTCTAATTTCCAGAACTCCGGAGAAGAGGCTCTGACCCAGCAAGTGGTAAATATACAAGATCAGAGAGAAGAATGGGAGGCAGCCTGCATTCCAGGGTGGTAGGGGTTGGGGAAGGAGAGCAACAGGTTGCCAGAGAGGGCAAGTCAGTCCTGCAGAAAATGGAATTCTGGAGAAGGGCTGTTGGTGGGGTGAGCAATAACTCTGTGGGCATGGTCAGGTCCATCTCCAGGAATTCATGAGATGGCTAGGCCAGGCAGACAGCTTGTTGATTTACATCCAGGGATACGTAAGCAGGATGAATTGGGGGAAGAGAGGAGAGAAATCTGCTGTAGGACTAGGAACTTTAAATAAGGAAGCAGTCATTAAGACCTTGAGGGAGTCATTTTGGCTTCTCTGGGGGGAGGGAAAACAGAAGGTGCCCGTTTGTGAATGAGCAACTGGAACTGGAGGTGAGGCTTTTACGAGACAGGGAAATAAAAACTATTGGTGCTAGGTTGGGTCCCCGATTTTGCAAAATTGAATACAGAAAACCTCACTCACACTAAAATGAGTACACATTAGATTACTTGAGCATTTGTTGGTATGGACAATGCTTCTTACAGTGGGGGCTCCAGAAACAGCCCCCCTCACCTTTACAGGTTTGCCTTGACAGGCTCTGTGATCCAGGAAGAACCCATGTCAGAGTTAAACACTTGTTTTTCTTTCTTGTTCCTAAGGAGAAATAGAGGCCCCTCTTTTAAGAAAAGTGAATATCAAGAAAGACGGTAAGGAAATTGGTGTTTCAAGGCTGCTTCCGCCTATTTGGGGCAGATTTCTGTGGCTATAAAGCCAGCTGGTGATATAGAACAATCTTGTGCACTATATGCAAATTCTTCAGTTTAGGACCACGTGGGAAAAGCTGTTTGGTTATCCCCATTGTATGGATATGGAAGCAGTCTCCAGGATGGGGAGTAAGAGGCAGGGTCTGGGCTTGACCTCTGCTCTGACTCACTGGAAGACGGAATTCCTCCAAGCCCAGTGGCAGGATGGGGGTGGGGGCTAGAAATGGACCAGGAAGCCAAGAGATCTTGTATTTATGTGGCACATTGTTACAACTGATAAGCCAATACAGATACACATTATTATTATCCCTGGTAGCATAGTGGATTACCAGTGGGGCTGCTAACTGCAAGGTTGTTGTTGTTAAGTGCTGTCAAATCAGTTCTGACTCATAGCAACCTGTATAGGGTTTCTGAGAAGCATCTGGTGGATTTGAACTACCAACCTTGTGGTTCACATTACATCAGGAGTCCAAGAGCAAGGGTAGTAGTTTGAATTTACCAGTCGCTCCAAGGGAAAAAGATGAGGCTCTCTGCTCCCATAAAGATTTATAGCCTTGGAAACCTTATACAGGGTTGCTAAGAGTCGGAACTGCCTCAGAGGCACACAGCTACCACCACCACCATTGTTAGCCATACTAATGTAACTGATTAGGGACCACTATGTTTTATAGTCCTATGGGTTTTGACATGGGGTCGTGAAGACGGCTGACAAAATCATAAAGGTGGTGTGTTGATAACTAAAGTTAGAACAAACCCCCCTAGAGTGGTCCCCAAGGTCTCATCCCCCACTAACATGTGAGGTCCAACCTTGGACTCCTGATTGGGCTGTTCTCTTAAATATTTAAAGAGATTTACACTGGACACTTCCTTAAACATTAAGTGTAGATCTGTGTAACAGTCTTCTTTTTTTCCTTAATGATATGCTGACTTCTGTGCCAAGAGAGTTCTAGAAATAATCATTTTGATTTTTCTCAAGAAACGAAGAAATCCCTTCCTCACTAACCTTCTCATTCCCTCAGTGGAAAAATACTCCATATCTAATTGCCTCTTAACATTACAAAGTAGTTCCCCACCCAAATACCTGCCCATTCTCACAGGATCCTAGAGGTTGCTTACCTCCTTTCATCATAGAGAATGCTGAGGCTCAGAGGGTTCATTACCACACTTGCCCAAAGTCTTCACAGTCCAGTTGAACTTAATACCTCAAGTAGGGCACCTGCTGCATTCTGGGAAGCCTGTTCTAAAATGCCCTATTTTCTACTCATAGTCATTTGATTGGCCCCTGCATTCTCCCTCTATAAACTACACAGTGCTTGGCTAAGTGCAGAGAGACTCCTTTAAGGCAGCTCCTGAATTCCTGAACCCAGCACTGGGCTGGCTCTGCCTCTCTTCTTCTCTTCTTCTCTCTACTAAAGATCTGAACCCTCTAAGCCTGCAAGTCTATTGATAAGCATCAGAACCTCCAGAAATAGCTCACAGGTTCATAGGGGCTCATGTGGAGCGATGTTTATGCAGCATCAGTGATAATACCAAAAACCTGGACATCTGCTCTGGTAACGTAGTGGTTACGAATCAGGCTGCGAACCTTAATGTCAGCAGTTGTTTGAAACTACCAGATATTCCGCAGGAGAAAGATGAGGCTTTCTGCTCCCATAAAGATTTACAGGGTCGCTATTAGTCGGTTCCGACTCCACGGCACATAACCACCACCATCACCAGGTACCCTGTAGGAGTCCTGGTGTGGCACTGTGGGTTAATGCGCTGAATTGCAAAGTCGGTTTGCATCACAAGGTTGGTGGTTCAAGCTCACCAGCTGCTCCTCGGAAACCCTATACAGGGTCTCTGTGGGTTGGTGCCAACTCGATGGCACTTAACAACAACAACAGGTACCCTGGAAGGAGTCCAGGTAGTGTAGTGGGTTACAAGTTGGCTGCTAACCACAAGGTCAGTATTTTGAATCTACCAGTTACTCCATGGGAGAAAGATGAGGCTTTCTGTTCCTGTAAAGATTTATAGCCTCAAAAACTCTACATTGGAGTCAGAACTGACTCGATGGAACTTAACAACAACAACTATAGCAACCTACATTGGAATTCTGGTGTGGTGCTGTAGGATGAGCACTGGACCACAAGGTCAACAGTTCAAACTCACCAGCTGCTCCTAGGAGACCCTATACATGGTCTTAATGAGTCAGAACCAACTCTTAACTACACTTAACTACAGCCTACATTGGAGTCCTGGTTGGGCACTGTAGGATAAGTACTGGACCACAAGCTGATTTGAACCACAGGGTCAGTGGTTCAAATTCACCAGCCACTTCTCAGAAGCCCTATACAGGGTTGCTATGAGTCAGAACTGACTTGATGGCACTTCACAACGACAGCCTATGTTGAGCCCTGGTAGTGTAACCATGAAGTTAGTTTGAATCCGTCAGCCACGCCACAGGAGAAAGAGGAGGCTTTCTGCTCCTGTAAAGATTTAGGGCCTCAGAAACCCTGTACAGGGTTGTTATGAGTCAGAACTGACTCCACGGCACACAACCCCCACCACCAGATACCCTGGAAAGAGTCCCCCTGATGCAGTGGTTAGATGCTCCTCTAACCACAGGGTTGTGGTTCGATCTCACCAGCAACTGAGCTAGACAGACATGGAGATCTACCCCGTAAAGATTGTAGCCTAGGAAATGCTATGGGGGCATTTCTTCTCCGTTCTATAGGTTCGCTATAAGTTGAAATAAACTTGACAGGTGGCGCAGACAGCTAAGTGCTTAGCTGCAAACCTATGGATTGGTAATCTAAATCCATCCAGATACTCATGGTGTGGCGCTGTAGGATAGCTCTGGACTCCTAACCACAAGTTCTGTGGTTCAAACCCACTAGATGCTCCTCGGAAACCCCACATAGGATCACTGTGAGTCAGAACTGACTCAACGGCCCTTAACAACAACACCTGATATATGAGTCCTGGTGTGGTGCTGTAGGCTAAACTCTGGACTGCTAACCACAAGGTCGGTGGTTCAAACCCACCAGATGCTCCTCAGAAACCCCATGCAGGGTCACTATTAGTTGGAACCAACTTGTCGGCCCATAACAAGGGGGACAAAGACCTGGCAATCTGCTTCTGTAATGATTAAAGCCCCAAACGAAATAAAACCAAACTAAACCTACTATGTCAGAACCCAATGCCCCCTAACAACAACAAAGGTGGTGCACACAACTTGTGCTAAACTGCTAACCTAAAGGGTGAGGGTTTGAACTCACTCAGTGATGTTGTGATTGTTAAGTGTCATCGAGCAACCCTGTATAAGGATTCCACAGCAGAACAGGCTGGATGACTTGCTTCTATTAAAACTGCAGCCAAGGATACCCTAGGGAGCAGCTCTGCTCTGTAACGTGGGACCCTGTGAGTTGGGATCCACCAGAGAACGACAGTCACATAAACTTCCATCATCGGTAGCTGCACAACAGATTCAAATGCTGCCTGGGTCCGTGCCATCCCTGTGATTGGCTGCAGTTCAGACTCCTGTGCTCCACAGGGTTTTCATTGGCTGTTTCTCAGGCCTTTCTCCGCAGTTCATCTTAGTCTGGAAACTCCATTGGAACGTGGTCAGCATCAGACAGGCACATAAACCCCCACTGACAGAAGGGTAATGACTTTGCTTGAGGTGAAGTATCACCGAGCCTCCTGCTTGGGAAGAAAGGATTCTAACACTGAACCATGATTGCCCCCACACCAGTGGTGGGCTACTTAAAAAAATTAGAGTAGTAGGCCACCATAGAAAAGAAGATGGATTCATCTGTCAACAAAAGGAAAAAGAGCACATTAAAGCAATAGGAATATAGATTGGTCTCCTTTGGGTTTCAGAAAATGCATGTACGTATACCTGGAAAGATTTTGCCAATCATGCTCACTTTGAGAGCTGGATTGTCAGGGAGATTGGAGCACAGGAAACTTTTAATTTACAATGGACACAGTTGCATTTTTGTACAGTTGAGTTTAACATCCATTCCACAAACAAAGGCTATCTGCCAGCTCTGCTCTGTCTCTAGCCTCCAGCCAGGAATGGACAGGCTAAAATCCCTGTCTGCTGAGCGGCGCAGACAGAATAAGCACAGAAATGAAAATAAAGTACTTTGTGTGTTGATAAGCCTTACAAAAACAATAAAGTAAGATAAAAACTGCAAAGTGGTAGAGCTTGGCTGCTATCTCAGTTTGGGTGGCCAGGAGCAGCGTCTCTGAATAAAGTTATGTTTAAACAGGGAATTAGGTTTTCTAACTTTCAAAATGGAAGGAAACAAACACTAATCCCTAACCTCTGTCTTTACAGATGAATTTTTCCATTTTGTCCTCATCTGCTTTGCTATTGGGGCTTTGCTGGTGTGTTATCACTACTACGCAGGTGAGCAGGGGACACCTTGGTGGGAAGAGCAGGGTGGGGGGACAAGCCCACCCCATGCTCGGACACACACATGAGGAAAGGGCCCTGGCGGGGGAGGGATGAGAGCATGGGAGAGCAGAGGCTCTCCTAGAATCTAGAAGGCAGAGAACCCGGACTGAGGGGTGGCATGGGGAAAAGAGTGTATGCTGACCTGCTGGCTGACCACACTGTCTCCTGGCTCCCCTTCCAGACTGGTTCATGTCCCTTGGGGTTGGCCTTCTCACCTTCGCCTCCTTGGAGACAGTTGGCATCTACTTTGGCCTGGGTAAGGAATCCTGTTATGACGCTGTGGGCTAAAGCGCTGGACTGCAAAGTTGGTTTTAACAGCAAGGTCGGTAGTTCAAGCTCACCACCAGTCGCTTCTTGGAAACTCTATACAGGGTCACTATGGGTTGGAACTGACTCAATGGCACTTAACAACAATAAGAAGGCCTGCTTGGAACGGCTGCCTGGATTGGCCATGATGCTTACTTGGAATCAAAGAATGGTCACGACCAAACTTTTTCTTTTTCTATATCATGTTTTTTCATGACGTGCCCATGTTTTCTTCCAACTACTTTTGAGATCAGCATAAGACAATGGTGAAAACCCAGTGGAAAAATTAGGCAGCCTTGTAAAAATACAAGAAAAACAGTTTAAAGTTGCAAGTAGAATGAGCCAGATGCCTAACGTGAGCTACTTAGTGGGCCTGGGTGCTGAATTCAGCTGAGTTCCCTGACACTGTTACTGCAGTTTGGTGGTGTTAATTAATAACTATCACTATTGTGGAAGCACAACCTGCTGCCCCCAAAGAGCATTGTTTATGTGAGTCAGGCTTTGTCCAGTGTAGACAGTTGGAAGATTCAGACCCCACATCTCTTGAGTGGGCACATACCTCAGCTCCCCTTTCTGTTTTGTTTCTGAACAGTGTACCGGATCCACAGTGTCCTGCATGGCTTCATCCCCTTCCTTCAGAAGATTAGGCTGTTGGGTAACTTTACTATTCTCCCTATGTTCACTCATCCCCTTCTTATCTGTTTCTGTTTGGAATGAGACTTAGCAGGAAAGAGCACAGGATCTGGAGTCAGAGCCTTGCTTTGAAGTCCTTCCTCTGCCTCTGAACTTGAACAGCCTCAGTTGCTTAAACTGGAAAATGGGTGTGTTAATGGGTATAAAGGGTATTGTGAATGTCCGATGAGGAATGGATGCAAAAGTCCTTAACTGTGAGACACAATGTAGAAATGAGAGGAGGCTGAGTGTTTCCAGACATTATCTTTTCCATGAGTTCATTTGCCTGATAAGCACTGGGGAGGTGGCTGCAGTTGGCTTATACATAATTGAAAGGGAAACTGAGGCTCGTAGAGGTGAGGTGACTTGCCCAGGGTCACACAGCTAGAGTATCGGAGTTGGGTCACAGTAGATCCTTATGCCCTCAAAACAGAAAGGCCAGGTGACTGAGCTGGGGCACCAAAAGGCCCACTCCTTCTGTCTCCTTAGACCCATTTAATGAGGAGTTAGCTATAATAGTTGTGAGTCGTGGAGACCATTGGCTTCTGCAATGACCACATCATTCCAGCCATGAGGGGGTATTTGGGTATTTTGGGGGAGCGTGGGGATGAGGCCTGACCCCCTTTATAATTCCACACCATCTCTCGGCTTTGCCTTCCAGGGTTCAGGAGGACTGACTGAGGCTGGGCCAGTGACCACTGCTGCATCCTCAGAGCCCACAAGGACAGAGCAACGGAGCCAAGTGTGGGAGCCGCACGAGTGGGCTGCTTTTCCTCCCATGAGATCTGAACATTAGCACCAGCCCAGGACCAGACATCATCCGGACAGTGTTGGCATACAACCAAGTAGTTGGGAGGGAAGGCAGGTGGTGGGCAGGGGTGCCAGAGCCCTTCCTAGTACCTGGGTCAGCAGGAGGACTCTTGGACATTTCTTCTCTTGGGAGACAGTAAGAGACCCCTTGCTCCTGCAAGCTGGAATCTATCTGGGCTCATGGGTTCTCTGAAATCCATCCCTGTTGGCTTTTAGATCCTACTGAGTCATGTCAGGACATACAGACAGCTCACTGCTCTGAGGTATGAATTCACCAGACGCGGCCCCTGGTGACTGATACAGAAGAGGTTTTGGGGACTGGACTTTCAGCATCTGCCCTCAGCCCTGCCACCCAGCGCCAGCTTCACTGCCTGAACTCCATCAAGAGTCAAATAAACTTTCTCTTCCTGGGCTAAAGAGTCAGTAAATATTCCTTTGCGTTTCTGGAGTGTGTGGACACAGTGACCCCATCTAGTCAAAGAGGGTCCCGTCTTCTACTGGAGTCCTGGTGTGGCGCTGTGGGTTAATGTGCTGGACTGCAAAGTTGGCTTGAACCACAAGGTCAGTGGTTCAAGCTCACCAGCCGCTCCTCAAAAACCCTATACGGGGTCACTAAGGGTTGAAACTGATTTGGTAGCACTTAACAACAGCAACAACTCAAAGAGGGTCCCTTGTCCTACTGGATAATATATAAAAGAGAATATATGTAAAACTCTTTGCTGTAGGTCCAAGACTTAAACCTGCACAGGTTCAGAATGGGAGATAGAGTTGTACAAACATTCCTGAGAAAGAGTGATGTGAGGGTGTAAAACAAAACCCACTGAAAAATTGGGTTGCATTAATAGAGGCATAGACTCTGGGTTGAAGGAGGTGATAGTAGATCCTACTTGCACTGTCCAGTCCATACCTATAAAGCACATGTTTGGTTCTAGACTTATATATCTTTTTTTTATTTTTAACGTTTTTATTGTGAATTGAATGATAGTTTACATGGAAGAATATCAGTTTTACATTCATCCTATCATATTTTGTTTCATTGCAATGATTACAATCCCCTCCATACATCACCATTCAACAGTATTTGCTTCTATTCCCTCTGTTTTTATTTTTTTTAATGTACATCAAAACACTCAGGAATATGTAATCATTTAAACAACCAAAGGGCACATTCTGCAAGCCTGCCTCCTGGCTGCCAGCACACAGCCTTTCTCTTAACATGAGTCTAGAGTCTTCAGCTGCTCTCTCTCTCCATGTCCTCATCTCTGCCTCCATCTCTGGTGCCGCTGCTTCTCTGAATAGGGTCTCAGATTCCACTAGTGCTCTTCCCCCTTGATGGTCCTAAGGTCCTCTGTTCCTGGACTATCAGATTAACTACCCCCCTTTTTTTTGACTTAAATATCTTGAGGGACAGTGACAAACTAAATTACATACAGAAGATGAGACCAAATAGGAGTAAAAAGAATAACTGAAAAAAATGAAAACTCTTCAGTCAGCAGAAGAGAAAAGTGGGGGGACTTCATTGAGCTCATAGGCTCTTTTTTTAAGGTTTTTATTGTGGATTGAGTAAAGTGGACACAGGGCATATCATTAGTTTTACATTGTACAAATCATATACCTTGTTTCATTACAATGATTATAATCCCCTCCATGTACCATGAGTTAAAAGTATTTCTCTCTATACACTTTAGCTTTTTAAAAACAAACCAAAAAACCGCTCAGGCATATATAATAATTTACATCTCCAAAGGGCACATTCTGCAAGTCTGCTCCAGGCCACCAGCTCTTAGTCCTTCTCTTCTAAGTCCATGAATCTAGAGTCCTTAGCCACTCCCCCTCCATGCCCCCATCTCTGCCTCCATCTCTGGCACTGCTGCTTCTCTGGATAAGGTCCCTCATTCTGCTTATGTACTTCTCTTTCCATGTTCCTAGGGTCCTCTGTTTCTGGACTGTAAGATTAACCACTCCCCTGTTTTCATTACAAAGCTTCTACATTTACAATTGTGACAATCTCAATTAGTCATGATAACAATTATTCACTATTGAATCTTACGAATCTTATCCCCA